GGATCCAGAGAGTCCTGGATTCTCCGGCGTTGGTCGACCTTGGTAAGGTCGATCTGGACGCTCTGGGCGAGCCGCCCAAGGAGTACGTCTCGGATGAAGATTACGAGAGTCACGTAGATGATGATGGGATGGGCCCATATGTGGACAAATTCTCATCAATGGGCGACCGCGACCTAGTGCCCTCAAAGCAGGAGCCGCCGTACGATGAGGCAAAGGCGTGGCGCACCACTGAAGAGGAAATTGAGCGGATGAAAAGCCTTTTTCCTCACTTTCGCGCCGAAAATTATCGGCTTATGTCAGCGAGTACTGGTCCCATTGGTACCAAGTCGCACGTACAGGGCGTCCTCCCTGCAGGTGCGTCGTTAGAAGAGGCACTGATGGCAAAGCCCGGTGTGTGCCCGATTACGAGCACCTACAACCTCACTTACGAGGGTGAAGAGGTTGTGATTGATGCGCAGAGCGGGATAGCAGGCAGAATCGCCTGTCCTGCCGGTAACGACATCTTCCATTTTTTCCCCGAAATTAGGGATGTGTCGGCGATGGCTGGACGAAGCTCCAGAGAGTCGCAAATGCTGTTAGAAATTTTGTCGGGCAACACTGACCCAACGCGGTTGAATGTGAAGTCCGGTGAGCCGGCCCCCTTCTTGTGTGGGACGGTTCCAGACATTCTGGGAGGTTGGATGTCAATGACTCTAATCTCAACGCTCTTTGAGGCCCTATACGGGATCCATAAGTGCACGAGTGTCAAGGTGGCGACCTGGGCGGGCGCTCTCGCGAAGGAGAGCCCAACGTACCCTCCAGTCGAGCTCCTAATGCGGACAGTCTGGAGGACAGATGGCACGACTGTGCGCCCGAATGAGGTGCTTTTTGCGCGGTCCACCCTAATCGGGAGGGACGTGCCGTTCAAAGTCTTCAAGCGCTGGGCACTGCGTGACCGAACGCCTATCGGGCCTTTGCTTAGGCCGATGGGAGCAGCAGAAGTCCCTTATACGGGATACGTGCTGCTGACGATGGCCGAGTATCGGTCCGCCCTCAAGACGAGGTGCATTCGGAGGCCTGGCAAATTCGCCATCACAGTTTTCCCCATGCGGCCTGAGCAGGTCTGCAGGGGGGAGATCATGATTGGGATGGAGGGCGCAAAGGTGCCTCTCCTCAAGTTACCCAGCCCCAATAATGAGGGCGAATTTTATGTTGACGATCGCGTCAAATACATGGACAAGCGCCATGTCGTTGTGGCCGTTGACCTGAAGTGGATGGCCATCGAGGAAGCCGCCGGCATCTACAAAACCCGACGCGGTTTGATCGCTGTGCGAGAGGAGATACATGCGCCCTTCTGGCGCGCATGCTATCTGCACCAGGAAGGGGATGTAATATACATCCGTCCCTGGGCGGTCCGTGAGTTGAATGTTCAGGGACCGCGGAGAGGGGTGCCATTTTCGTGGGACAAAGCTCCCATGCATGACTACTGGTGCCCTCGGTGCGCGCATTTGAATATGTATGGCACCATTCTATGCAATGGTTGCCATCTGCCGATTTTCTATCGTGAGTGGGTGCCAGGCACCGTCCGCTCTCTGGTTAGGAGTGGGCAACCAGTCTGGTTAGACGGACTCAAAGCAGTCCGTGCCAGCAGCTGGTATGAAGGGGAGACCGACGCATGGGCTCCTCTCATGGCATCGGTAAACCCGATCCGCGAGGTGGTCAGCTGTATGATCTCCGGTTTGCGCTGTGCGCCGCACCTTGTGCACAATCCCAATGCGGATGTTGTACAAGTTGCGTTTCAGGAGGTTGCAAAGGTCACCTCAAAGGACACCCACGCTTCTGTGCGTGCGAGTGACGAGGCTCTCGAGCGGTGGGTAGCGAAACAGCTGCTCATCGAGGAGAGCAACACTGGCGTCCCAATTCCCGACAATATGTCTGTCATGACATATTTGATTGAGCACCCGCAACAGGCGGCGCAATGGGGTCGTCATATGACGAGAAAGGGCAGTCTAAATTCAGCATTTGCCCTTTACCTCTCTGTGCATATTTATGATGCCTACCGCATCGGAATTGAGGACGGATATTTGGTTCCGCTGTATGGCCTAGGCGCCTCACGCGCGGACATCATAATGTCATTGGTGCAGGCTGAGCGACGCCTCGCGGACTTCAATAGTGAAGACCCAAGTTTTGATGCCTCCACTGTTCTTGATTGGAGCATCGAATCTCTGCGGGCCAGTGGTGGATCCATCACGGCCCCGATTGAGTATGCTGAGGCATACATTTATGTCGAAGACAACAAGGTTGACATGGTCCCCGCTGCACAGCGCGACGGCCAATGCGCCATTGTCTTTGCTGACCCGCCGGCTGGGAAGCACCATAGGCGGGCAGCCACTCCTAGGGGAGACCAACGGTCTGCTACCCCGCGACCTGAATCCAGGTCAAAGGGAGATCAGCAAAAGGGCAAAGCCCCTGCGCAATCCTGGCCCAAGGGTGGAGGTCACAAGGGTGACCAATTTCCAGAAAAAGGGGCACAAGGGTGATCAGTACAAAGGCAAGGGTGGCCAATACGGCTATCAACAAGGGCAGTTCGGTCGTGGCGGATCCGCCAGATCGAGAACTCCAACTGGCGGGTATCAGCCTGATGCTCGCGGGTCGGGGTACAAAGGAGCTCAGGCAGCCCCTTTCCCGTTCCCGAGTCCGATGTACCCCGCTTTCCCAATGGGAGGGTACATGCAACAGCCCATGGCTGGTATGATGCCACAAATGTGGCCTGGCGCAATGCCGCAGGGTTGGCAGCCGCATATGCAGGGTGATCCCCGCGAGTTCGAGAATCCGAGCTCGCCGCATACCCCTACTTGGGGTGACGGCGACGAGTTGGCCGAGACCGTGCCTCCTCCCCCCGGGGACTGGAATGCCAGCAAGGGGAAGGGGCGGCACGGCGGTGGACGACATCGGTGATACCTGAAGTCTGTCCATGCGTTTTGCATGGCTGCGCCAACGCGCGCATGCTTTCATCCCGGAATCCACAAAATGGACTATGCTCCTTATAGTATTTCTTTGTCTGGGCTATTCGCCGTTTCAGAATTCAATTGCATGCGTAGCTGTGCGCTATTCGCGCAAGCTGCGATTACCTGTCAGGTGTGCATCGCCGCAGCAAGGCAGTCACTCTCGGCGGCGTCTATGGCCGCTGGTGATCTGCTTCCACCTGCACCGCTGCTGCTGCTGGTGATGATGCTCATCAAGGTGCCGAGGTGAAGATCACGGGTGCCCTGCACCGCTGCCGGTGATGTCCTACTCGGACCTGAACCGCGGATCGCTGCTGGTGGTATCCATGGCGGTTGACCTCGTGTGATCGCGCGCCTAGACGGTGCTAATTTATAACCAAGGCTCATTGGTCTATGCACCATGTTTCAACCAACTGGCCAATGCGCCTAATCTAATAATTAAAAATTAAATCCACTTGAATCAAATGGTTCAATGTGGTTGCAATGCAAATGACAATTCTTTGGCTTCATGCCGGCCATTCCGAAGTTGATCCTTTGTTCTTTTCTTTTGTTGCTTTCTCTTGTTTGATTTGGCTACCGGCGAGAATCCGCCCCATACCCGTAATTCGGGGTGGTGGCGGGATCCGGGCGCCAATGAGTGCCCGGGTATGGGGTCGCGAACCCTGGTAGCCTAATCGGCTTTGTTTGTCTTGTTCATTGCATTTCAACTTCAATATGGCCAATGCGCCCTTCCAAATTCACTCCTTCTCTTTGTACAGGCGGGGGGGGTGTTTTTGGGGGCATGTACTTTTGTCATAGCATGCCAAAGCCCAACGCGGCTTTTGGCTCAAGCTTTTACCACGTCAAACTACGCCGCCATAGCGGCAGTGGCTGCTTACGGCGTCGCAACTCGTCCTGCCCCTGGAAAAGGACAGGCCGAGCTTCGCGGCGGTAGGCACGTCTTCTGGTTGTGGGTCGGTGTGTGTGTTTGGTGGTGTCCGCATTGGTTTGCTCTGCTTGCTCACTGTGCGCTGCATTGTTTGCCTGCCTGGTTTGCTGCTTTGTGCTTGCTTTCGGTTGTCTCTGCCCTTGCTGGGTTTCTTTACCTTGTTACAACTGGCACCCTGTTTTGGTTCGTGTTTGGCCAGCCGAGGGCACCGCTTTGCCCTTGGGACTGGGGGACTTAAACAATCTCTTCTTGTTGGTGGGATTGGGCCTGTTTATTCTCTCCCGAAACTCTGTTTCAAACCCTTTCGCACAAAGAAATGGTCCCAAAGGATCGGAAGCGAGATGAATCCATCCCGAAAGTGTTGGCTGGTCAGACATATAGCTTCTTCGACCTTTTGGAGCTTTCTGCGGTATTTCTGCGGGTTTAGAGGGAGCTATGACATCGGCGTTTTTTCGGTGGTTCTGCGGGTTTGGAGGAATCCAGGGTGTGGACTCTCAAGCATTTGCGATTTTTCGGACATCTCCCATGGCCCACAGATTTCGCTCTGTTGGGTATCCAAGTTGCGTGGGAGACCTCATGGGCCAGGGCCAGAGCGCGACAGGTTGGGTACATTTGGGTCGTGTTGGGTGAGCGCAGGTGCCCTTGGTTTGGTTTGACAGGAACATCAACAGGGACACCATCTGTAGGGTTTCCGTATTTCACACAGCCTATGAACTCTCAAAGCACCAGGTGCGCGGAATTGGTTGGTAGGGAGGGTCGTGACTCCAAGTGGCAACCAAATGAGGAGTTGCCTGATGGGGCAGTTGTGTCAGAGATTTGGCGTTGCAGGTACTTTCGATTTGATGTCAGGAAAACCGTGCGATTTCTTTGAAATTCTCAGATCCATTGTGAAAAGCACGGCCCAATTGTAAGCAAGCGCAGTCCCGGCCCCAGCATTCACTGCGAGGAGAGGGTTCGGTTCTATGATCCCCCCCAATCTTCGGCAAAAGGGGAATGTAAGTCTTTGACCCCGTATGCAACGATTGTGTAGTTCTCCAAACGTTTCTTGCTCACTTCCTCAGTTGGGAAACCATTTTAGCACCTCCCAGGCAACCCCAGCGTCAGTGCCCCCTGCGCCGTCGCCGGCACGGAAGGCGGGGAATTCGGAGTCTGGAGAAGCTCGGGCGAATCCGGGGAGAAAACCTATTTGCTGCATATTAAGTTGAAAAGTCCATTAGTTGGATGGACACAAGAGGGGTCATCGCATTTCTCATTTTTGCCTATCGTACCATGGCTCGGCCACTCGGGCCCGGAAAATTAGGTAAAACCTCGATTCTCCCACTCCCGCTTTTGGTGGCGCCATCCCTCCTGGAGTCACAGACTGTTTTGTTTGTTTGTTTTTTTGGGGGGGCTCGGTATCCCGGTACCCCGCGCTTGAGAGGAAAACAGAAGTTGAAAACCTTTGGGCTTTTCTCCGACTGCAAAGTTTTTTCCCAACTGCGACGTGTCTATATACATGGACCTGGCTCAAAGTCTTTCAAAAGGCACTCATGAACTGCTCCTACCCCCCAAACACACTATCACCTGAGCAGTCAACACCTACAGCGGTCCACCCAAAGATGAGGTAAGGAATCAAAAGGACGGATATCCACACCTGCATGCGTGTAAAGGCTGCAAAGGTCTGTATAGCCTCAACTAGCCTACTGAGAAGAAGCGGGTAGGTCACGCAAGAGGGTTTTGGAAAGACATCCTACTTCGAGCCAGCAGCAGCCCAAGCCGCCCGAAACCGAGTTGGAAGCCACGGCTTCTTTGTCTCAGGTCGTGATTGCGGTCTGGCTGGGGCCCCCGAGCAGGTCGGTCGTGGATGGGTCTCGCACCACCGAAATCAGAAGCCCTATGATTTGATTCCCCAACGTAAATGCCAACAAACGTCATGGTTTCAACCATGGTTTCATTTCATGGTGCGAAGTGGATCTTGGCCATCAGCACTTCTCAAAATGGAGCCCTTTTCCTTGGTTTCCCAAAGGCATCCAGAAGGGGCCGAGAAGGTTTTGTCTCGGGTGTGCTCTGGGTCAAGGTTTGGGATGCGGTTTGCAAGACATGATGTAGGTACAGGTGGTTGGAGTGAATCGAGAAATAAGACGCATGTGCAAAAATATCAATACATGAAGTACCGCCAAAATGACTTTTGCTTAGTTTAGTATTCGGCGTTTCATTGGTATTGTGAAAATGCACAAAACCATGGCAAACGATAGGGGACTCTCAAACTAAAGTAGCGAAACGGCCGTAAGTAAGTAATTTCGACCGTGCCTCACATGACTTCCAACTTATACTTACCTTCTCGAACTTTTACAGAAGGCTTCCAACAGGGGCCCCGCGATCAGTTGTTGTTTTTTGTTCGGGGCCAATTTGCTTGTGGGTTTGGCTTCATGAATCGTGAGATAAGAAGTGCTGAAACGAAAATCACCTTCCGTCCGCTTTTGTTTTGGGCTTGAGAGTATCTTCGGGTGGCTTCCCTTTGAACCGGAATCAGGGAATCTCCAGTTGGTTTGGACTGGGAGTTGGGATTTGAATGTCTGGTTCTTTGGTAAGTCGAACAACTCACCACCAAACCGCCGAATCGACTCCAACCACTTTTGGGGCAACCTGCATCAATGCAACCAATCCATCAATCCATCAATCAACTAACCAACCGATCCGTCCATCAATCAAACAACCAACCAACCAATCAATGAGTCAGTGAGTCAGTGAATCAATCAACCAATCGATCAATCGATCATTCAATCCATCAATCCATCAACCCATCAACCCATCAATCCATCAATCTCTCAATCCATCAATCCATCAATCGATCCGTCCATCAATCCATCAATCCATCAATCCATCAATCCATCAATCCATCAATCCATCAATCCATCAATCCATCAATCCATCAATCCATCAATCCATCAATCCATCAATCCATCAATCCATCAATCCATCAATCCATCAATCCGTCAATCCATCCATCAATCGATGAATCCATCAATCGATGAATCAATGAATGAATCAATCAATCAATCAATCAATCAATCAATCAATCAATCAATCAAGCAAGCAAGCAAGCAAGCAAGCAATCACTCACTCACTCACTCACTCACTCACTCACTCACTCACTCACTCACTCAATCAATCAATCAATCAATGAATGAATGAATGAATGAATGAATGAATGAATGAATGAATGAATACATCAATCAATCAACTCATGGGCAACTTTGAGGATGGGGTCACTAGATGGACTCTGTGGATCAGCACTTCTGAGGTGAAATCGCCGACCTTGTCAACGTGTCTGGGGTCTCAGAAATAGAAGGCTCGCTATTTTCTTGAGTCGGTAGCCCTTTCACAGTTTGGTTTGAAGGGAAACCCAAAGGAGCACCGAAATCGTTCTTGATCCTATTTCGAGAAAAATCATGTACTCTTGAGTATATACGAGACACAAGCTCAACATATTGTGCTTGCTCCCAGAGTTGAGTCAAGTTGATTGCTTACTGCCCTACAAGCCAAACGGGAGCCCATAAAAGGAGATTCCTCTACAAGCATAATGGTCGGAAAGCTTCGCCCGTTTGCCAACAAAGATATCCCACTTGCACCAAAATGGTGCGGACTTCCTGCATGCCCATTCTTTGCCCCAAACCACCCTTGAGGTCGCAAGCGCTCCGTGAGGTCGCACACATTGGACCAAAGAAACTTCAGCATTGGCAACTGAAAGGTGGTCATTGATAAGCTCATGCAGCGTTTCTTGTAAGAAAACATGCAAAGGTTAAAACAGAACGTGGAACTCCAGCAACCCATCATCGGTAATGTTGACCCAGGATTAATAAACCCGTCCCATTATTGGGGGGGTGTTCCCTCCAAAAGTGGTCTGAATCCAACCACTAAAAGGAATTGGACACCCCCCGATCAAAATCAACCAGGGGTTCTACTTAGATCCGGGGTTAACATTAGAGATGACTTGGGAGTATGAAAACGACCCGTCAGAAAAAGTGCTCCCAAGTCATCACGCAAGAAGCCCTCAACTGTTTTACTTCCGAAAACGGTTTGGATGCGCTTTTTGTGGATTTCGTCCCCCTGTAGGTTCTTTGTTAGTACTGCTTCAAGATCCCAGAGGGGTGGTTCCACAAAAACCACATCCACAACATTTTCTAGATATACACCCAACAACTGTTCAAGTCCCAAGTCGAAGAGCGCTTTGCCGGGTTTTCTGGAGTTGCCTGCTCCTCAGCATCTGGGCGGTTTGGGCGTCATGTGGATTCTTTTGGACTCTTCCTCTGTCGTTCAAAAGGAGTCCCTTTCTGCTTTCGGGCCGACCATTGCACAGCACGGCCAGTCAGCACGGCCAGATCGCCAGTGATTCTGTCATTCCTTGGTTTGCAGTCTGATTTTGAGTTCTTGACATTCGCACCCAGACCGAAGTGGGAATGGTAGTTTTTCAAGGAGGGAATAGAGATACATCGCTAACAATTTTACATTTTAGCCCGCAATGCAAGCGAACTGGACCCACAAAATAATTTGGAAGCCCGAAGTCATTTTGGCTGGGCATGACCTTCTTTCAAATGGAGCCCCCGACCCCAATCCGGCCAATTTGTTAGACAGGGCACTCTTCTGTCCATTTCGAAGCTCGTTCCAATTCTCGGCTTTTGCCAACAAATCATTCAAGGAATCAATGGGCCAAGGCAGCTAGATGGTTTGGGCTTCGATTCTGGGTCTGCAGTTCCATTTTGTGTTTTTGACTCTTGGGCTTGGACCGTTTGATTAGACGAAGGTGCTAAGTCTTGCCAGGCGTGTCGGGCTCTCGTCCGTCCTCTCTGCCGTTTTCTTTATCCTCTCTGGCCGAAGTATTGCTCAACACGTCCATTTCCGAGCAAGGACAAGAGATATATCCCAGATGGTTCCATCGTCGAGTTATTTTTCTGGTTAATTTCGAGTTTTGGCATTGGGACTCAGATCCGCCCTCTTCGGCGTTTGTGCAACTGTCGCCCCTTTCCCCTCCCCCCCCGCCCCCTCGGCTCTTTGGAACAGGGAATAGACAGGGCATAAACAGGTAGACCACCGATTGCAGAAATTCTGGCCCAGACAGCAAATGAAGGGACGTGTGCCCAGAAGCATTTCCGCAGGTCCTAGGTCATTTGGCCAAGCGTGTCGCGTTCTCTTCTTTCCATTTCTGAGCTCGTCAGAACAAAATGTTGAACATGGCTCTTTGGAACAAGGAGTAGAGAGGTCATAGACAGGTAGACCACCGATTCCAGAAATTCTGCTCTTTGCTGTCCAGGCCGTGTTTCGACTATTGGGTCCAGACAGCGCATGGAGGGACATGTGCCCAACAACGGTTCTACAGTTGCCAGGTCTTCAAACGTGTTGCGTTCTCTTCTTTCCATTTCGGCCCTTTCAACCAAGTCTCTTTCGGCCTTCTTTTGCCAAAGAATCGTTCAACGTGGCAGTTTCTGAGCAAGGAATCAATGGCCAAGGCAGCTAGATCGTTTGGGCTTTCATTATTTCTTGGTTTGTAGTTGAATTTTGTGTTTTTTGACTCCTGGACTTGGACCGTTTGACTAGACATTCGCCCAGAAAATGTTCCGAAGGTCCTAAGTCTTGCCAGGCGTGTCGGGCTCTCGTCCGTCCTCTTCGTCTTGTGTTCAAAAGGAGTCCCTTTCTCCTTGCTGGCCGAAACATTGCTCAAAACGTCCATTTCCGAGCAAGGACAAGAGACATATCGCCGGTGATTCCATGATTTCCAATGTTTTGCTGTGTAAGCTTGAGTTTTGGCATTGGGACCCAGATCCGTCGTCTTCGGCCTTTTTTCAACTGAGCCCCTTTCCCGTCCTCTTTGGAACAAGGGCATGAACAGGTAGACCAGGGATTCCAGAAGTTCTGCTCTCCGCTGTCAAGGCCGTGTTTCGACATTTGGGCCCAGACAGCAAATGAAGGGACATGTGCCCAGAAACATTTCCACAGGTCCTGGGTCATTTTGCCAAACGTGTCGCATTCTCTTCTTTCCATGTCGGACCTCGTTCAAACTTTGTCCCTTCTGACGTTTTTTGCCAAAGAATCGTTCAAAGCGGCAGTTTCTGAGCAAGGAATCAATGGGCCAAGGCAGCTAGATTATTTGCGCTTTCCTTTTTTCTTGGTTTGCAGTTCCATTCTGACTCTTGGACTTGGACCGTTTCAATAAACATTCGCCCAGAAAATGTTCCGAAGATCCTAAGTCTTGCCAGGCGTGTCGGGCTCTCGTCCGTCCTCTTCGTCTTGTGTTCAAAAGGAGTCCCTTTCTCCTTGCTGGCCGAAACATTGCTCAACACGTCCATTTCCGAGCAAGGACAAGAGACATATCGCCGATGTTTCCATTGTTTCTTGGTTGTGCTGTTCAATTGGGACCCAGACCCGTCTCCTTCGCCCTTTGCTCAACTGGCGCCCCTTTCCCCATCCCCGTCAGAACAACATGTTGAACATGGCTCTTTGGAACAAGGAGTAGACAGGTCATAGACAGGTAGACCACCGATTCCAGAAATTCTGTTCTGCTGTCCAGGCCGTGTTTCGACTATTGGGTCCAGACAGCGCATGGAGGGACATGTGCCCAACAACGGTTCTACAGTTGCCAGCTCTCAAACGTGTTGCGTTCTCTTCTTTCCATTTCGGCCCTTTCAACCAAGTCTCTTTCGGCCTTTTTTTGCCAAAGAATCGTTCAAAGTGGCAGTTTCTGAGCAAGGAGTCAATGGGCCAAGGCAGCTAGATCGTTTGGGCTTTCCTTTTTTCTTGGTTTGCAGTTCCATTTTGTGTTTTGACTCTTGGGCTTGGACCGTTTGACTAGACATTCGCCCAGAAAATGTTCCGAAGGTCCTAAGTCTTGCCAGGCGTGTCGGGCTCTCGTCCGTCCCCTTCGTCTTGTGTTCAAAAGGAGTCCCTTTCTCCTTGCTGGCCGAAACATTGCTCAAAACGTCCATTTCGGAGCAAGGACAAGAGAGACATCGCCGGTGATTCCATGATTTCCATTTTTTTGCTGTGTAAGCTTGAGTTTTGGCATGACCCAGATCCGTCGTCTTCGGCCCTTTTTCAACTGAGCCCCTTTCCCGTCCTCTTTGGAACAAGGGCATAAACATGTAGACCAGGGATTCCAGAAATTCTGCTCTCCGCTGTCAAGGCCGTGTTTCGACATTTGGGCCCAGACAGCAAATGAAGGGACATGTGCCCAGAAACATTTCCACAGGTCCTGGGTCATTTTGCCAAACGTGTCGCATTCTCTTCTTTCCATGTCGGACCTCGTTCAAACTTTGTCCCTTCTGACGTTTTTTTGCCAAAGAATCGTTCAAAGCGGCAGTTTCTGAGCAAGGAATCCATGGGCCAAGGCAGCTAGATTATTGGCGCTTTTCTTTTTTGTTGGTTTGCAGTTCCATTCTGACTCTTGGACTTGGACCGTTTCAATAGACATTCGCCCAGAAAATGTTCCGAAGGTCCTAAGTCTTGCCAGGCGTGTCGGGCTCTCGTCCGTCCTCTTCGTCTTGTGTTCAAAAGGAGTCCCTTTCTCCTTGCTGGCCGAAACATTGCTCAACACGTCCATTTCCGAGCAAGGACAAGAGACATATCGCCGATGTTTCCATTGTTTCTTGGTTGTGCTGTTCAATTGGGACCCAGACCCGTCTCCTTCGCCCTTTGCTCAACTGGCGCCCCTTTCCCCATCCCCGTCAGAACAACATGTTGAACATGGCTCTTTGGAACAAGGAGTAGACAGGGCATAGACAGGTAGACCACCGATTCCAGAAATTCTGCTCTTTGCTGTCCAGGCCGTGTTTCGACTATTGGGTCCAGACAGCGCATGGAGGGACATGTGCCCAACAACGGTTCTACAGTTGCCAGGTCTTCAAACGTGTTGCGTTCTCTTCTTTCCGTTTCGGCCCTTTCAACCGCATTCTCTTCCGGCCTTTTTTTGCCAAAGAATCGTTCAAAGCGGCAGTTTCTGAGCAAGGAATCAATGGGCCAAGGCAGCTAGATTATTTGCGCTTTCCTTTTTTCTTGGTTTGCAGTTCCATTCTGACTCTTGGACTTGGACCGTTTCAATAGACATTCGCCCAGAAAATGTTCCGAAGGTCCTAAGTCTTGCCAGGCGTGTCGGGCTCTCGTCCGTCCTCTTCGTCTTGTGTTCAAAAGGAGTCCCTTTCTCCTTGCTGGCCGAAACATTGCTCAACACGTCCATTTCCGAGCAAGGACAAGAGACATATCGCCGATGTTTCCATTGTTTCTTGGTTGTGCTGTTCAATTGGGACCCAGACCCGTCTCCTTCGCCCTTTGTTCAACTGGCGCCCCTTTCCCCATCCCCGTCAGAACAACATGTTGAACATGGCTCTTTGGAACAAGGAGTAGACAGGGCATAGACAGGTAGACCACCGATTCCAGAAATTCTGCTCTTTGCTGTCCAGGCCGTGTTTCGACTATTGGGTCCAGACAGCGCATGGAGGGACATGTTCCCAACAACGGTTCTACAGTTGCCAGGTCTTCAAACGTGTTGCGTTCTCTTCTTTCCATTTCGGCCCTTTCAACCAAGTCTCTTTCGGCCTTTTTTTGCCAAAGGATCGTTCTCAGCAGCACTTTCTGAGCAAGGAATCAATGGGCCAATGCAGCTAGATCGTTTGGGCTTTCATTATTTCTTGGTTTGTAGTTGAATGTTGTGTTCTTTCACTCTTGGACTTGGACCGTTTCAATAGACATTTACCCAGAACATGTTCCGAAGGTCCTAAGTCTTGCCAGGCGTGTCGGGCTCTCGTCCGTCCTCTTCGTCTTGTGTTCAAAAGGAGTCCCTTTCTCCTTGCTGGCCGAAACATTGCTCAACACGTCCATTTCCGAGCAAGGACAAGAGACATATCGCCGATGTTTCCATTGTTTCTTGGTTGTGCTGTTCAATTGGGACCCAGACCCGTCTCCTTCGCCCTTTGCTCAACTGGCGGCCCTTTCCCCATCCCCGTCAGAACAAAATGTTGAACATGGCTCTTTGGAACAAGGAGTAGACAGGGCATAGACAGGTAGACCACCGATTCCAGAAATTATGTTCTGCTGTCCAGGCCGTGTTTCGACTATTGGGTCCAGACAGCGCATGGAGGGACATGTGCCCAACAACGGTTCTACAGTTGCCAGGTCTTCAAACGTGTTGCGTTCTCTTCTTTCTATTTCGGCCCTTTCAACCAAGTCTCTTTCGGCCTTTTTTTGCCAAAGAATCGTTCAAAGTGGCAGTTTCTGAGCAAGGAATCAATGGGCCAAGGCAGCTAGATCGTTTGGGCTTTCAGTATATCTTGGTTTGCAGTTCCAATATGTTTTTTTGACTCTTGGACTTGGACCGCTTGACTTGACATTCGCCCAGAAAATGTTCCGAAGGTCCTAAGTCTTGCCAGGCGTGTCGGGCTCTCGTCCGTCCCCTTCGTCTTGTGTTCAAAAGGAGTCCCTTTCTACTTGCTGAAAACATTGCTCAACAAATCCATTTGAGAGCAAGGACAAGAGAGACATCGCCGGTGATGCTCAACTGGCGCCCCTTTCCCCATCCCCGTCAGAAGAAAATGTTGAACATGGCTCTTCGGAACAAGGAGTAGACAGGGCCTAGACAGGTAGACCACCGATTCCAGAAATTCTGTTCTGCTGTCCAGGCCGTGTTTCGACTATTGGGTCCAGACAGCACATGGAGGGACATGTGCCCAACAACGGTTCTACAGTTGCCAGGTCTTCAAACGTGTTGCGTTCTCTTCTTTCCGTTTCGGCCCTTTCAACCGCATTCTCTTCCGGCCTTTTTTTGCCAAAGAATCGTTCTCAGCAGCACTTTCTGAGCAAGGAATCAATGGGCCAAGGCAGCTAGATCGTTTGGGCTTTCCTTATTTCTTGGTTTGCAGTTCCATTCTGACTCTTGGACTTGGACCGTTTCAATAGACATTCGCCCAGAAAATGTTCCGAAGGTCCTAAGTCTTGCCAGGCGTGTCGGGCTCTCGTCCGTCCTCTTCGTCTTGTGTTCAAAAGGAGTCCCTTTCTCCTTGCTGGCCGAAACATTGCTCAACACGTCCATTTCCGAGCAAGGACAAGAGACATATCGCCGATGTTTCCATTGTTTCTTGGTTGTGCTGTTCAATTGGGACCCAGACCCGTCTCCTTCGCCCTTTGCTCAACTGGCGCCCCTTTCCCCATCCCCGTCAGAACAACATGTTGAACATGGCTCTTTGGAACAAGGAGTAGACAGGGCATAGACAGGTAGACCACCGATTCCAGAAATTCTGCTCTTTGCTGTCCAGGCCGTGTTTCGACTATTGGGTCCAGACAGCGCATGGAGGGACATGTTCCCAACAACGGTTCTACAGTTGCCAGGTCTTCAAACGTGTTGCGTTCTCTTCTTTCCATTTCGGCCCTTTCAACCGCATTCTCTTCCGGCCTTTTTTTGCCAAAGGATCGTTCTCAGCAGCACTTTCTGAGCAAGGAATCAATGGGCCAATGCAGCTAGATCGTTTGGGCTTTCATTATTTCTTGGTTTGTAGTTGAATGTTGTGTTCTTTCACTCTTGGACTTGGACCGTTTGAATAGACATTCGCCCAGAAAATGTTCCGAAGGTCCTAAGTCTTGCCAGGCGTGTCGGGCTCTCGTCCGTCCTCTTCGTCTTGTGTTCAAAAGGAGTCCCTTTCTCCTTGCTGGCCGAAACATTGCTCAACACGTCCATTTCCGAGCAAGGACAAGAGACATATCGCCGATGTTTCCATTGTTTCTTGGTTGTGCTGTTCAATTGGGACCCAGACCCGTCTCCTTCGCCCTTTGCTCAACTGGCGCCCCTTTCCCCATCCCCGTCAGAACAAAATGTTGAACATGGCTCTTTGGAACAAGGAGTAGACAGGGCATAGACAGGTAGACCACCGATTCCAGAAATTCTGTTCTGCTGTCCAGGCCGTGTTTCGACTATTGGGTCCAGACAGCACATGGAGGGACATGTGCCCAACAACGGTTCTACAGTTGCCAGGTCTTCAAACGTGTTGCGTTCTCTTCTTTCCGTTTCGGCCCTTTCAACCGCATTCTCTTCCGGCCTTTTTTTGCCAAAGAATCGTTCTCAGCAGCACTTTCTGAGCAAGGAATCAATGGGCCAATGCAGCTAGATCGTTTGCGCTTTCCTTATTTCTTGGTTTGCAGTTCCATTTTGTGTTTTGACTCTTGGGCTTGGACCGTTTGACTAGACATTCGCCCAGAAAATGTTCCGAAGGTCCTAAGTCTTGCCAGGCGTGTCGGGCTCTCGTCCGTCCCCTTCGTCTTGTGTTCAAAAGGAGTCCCTTTCTACTTGCTAGAAACATTGCTCAACAAATCCATTTGCGAGCAAGGACAAGAGAGACATCGCCGGTGATTCCATGATTTCCAATGTTTTGCTGTGTAAGCTTGAGTTTTGGCATTGGGACCCAGATCCGTCGTCTTCGGCCCTCCCGTCCTCTTTGGAACAAGGGCATAAACATGTAGACCCGGAATTCCAGAAATTCTGCTCTCCGCTGTCAAGGCCGTGTTTCGACATTTGGGCCCAGACAGCAAATGAAGGGACATGTGCCCAGAAACATTTCCACAGGTCCTGGGTCATTTTTGCCAAACGTGTCGCATTCTCTTCTTTCCATGTCGGACCTCGTTCAACCCCCTTCTGACGTTTTTTGCGAAAGAGTCGTTCAAAGCGCCAGTTTCTGAGCAAGGAATCAATGGGCCAAGGCAGCTAGATTATTTGCGCTTTCCTTATTTCTTGGTTTGCAGTTCCATTTTGTGTTTTGACTCTTGGGCTTGGATAAGTCTTGCCAGGCGTGTCGGGCTCTCGTCCGTCCCCTTCGTCTTGTGTTCAAAAGGAGTCCCTTTCTCCTTGCTGGCCGAAACATTGCTCAAAGCGTCCATTTCCGAGCAAGGACAAGAGAGACATCGCCGGTGATTCCATGATTTCCATTGTTTTGCTGTGTAAGCTTGAGTTTTGGCATGACCCAGATCCGTCGTCTTCGGCCTTTTTTAAACTGAGCCCCTTTCCCATCCTCTTTGGAGCAAGGGCATGAAGAGGTAGACCAGGGATTCCAGAAATTCTGCTCTCCGCTGTCAAGGCCGTGTTTCGACATTTGGGCCCAGACAGCAAATGAAGAGACATGTGCCCAGAAACATTTCCACAGGTCCTAGGTGATTTGGCCAAGCGTGTCGCATTCTCTTCTTTCCATTTCGGAGCTCGTTCAACCGGAGTGCGTTCTGGACTTTTTTGCCAAAGAATCGTTCTCAGCAGCACTTTCCGAGCAAGGAATCAATGGGCCACAGCAAATAGATCGTTTGGGTCTTCATTGCTTCTTGATCTGCAGTTTCATGTTGTGTTTTGTGACTCTGACTTGGAGCCTTTGAATAGACATTCGCCCAGGAAATGTTGCGAAGGCCCGAAGTCACATGGCCAGGCGTGTGGCGCTCTCTTCCGTCCTCTTGGTTCCTTCAAAAAATGGAGTCCCTTTCTCTTTTCCGGCCCAACAATTCCCCGAAGCGGAGAGATAGATGGCAAGGTATTCCATTTCTTGGTTGGACATTTTTTGGTAAGGACAAAGGCATCCGGAACTGAACAGCGTGCCGGGTTTCATTCCAGTGGTTTGCATTGTGGCCACTTTCCGGACTGCTTCAGAGCCACAAAGTTGCCGTCGGGTTGTGGCCCCCAGTCACTAGGCGAGGCACTCGAGTCAACAGCTCCCTTGGACCCGGTGCTTTATTTTCCGTGACAGCCCCCGGCCGGGTCTGGGACCCTTCTGAGGTTCGTGCAGCCAACTATATCTTCCATGTTGGCTGCACGGCACGTCGCAATCAGTGACAGCCTAGGGCAGCCAAGTTTCACATCCCGCTGCGCGCAATTCGGCCCACGTTTTGCTGCGCGCGACCACGTTTGAAACCGCGTGTGCAGGGTTGATCCCCAGGCCCAGTTGCGGTCCACCACGGCTCACTTTTTTTTTAAATGGTTTTGGTTTCTTCGGAGGAGCTGAATCAACGTGTTGGTCATTCCCTTGAAGGGCTCAAGATGGGTTTGTTCTGTTTGGAATCGATGAATTTCCAGCCAGACCTGGAGACGCACATCTGAGAATGCCAAGTGTTGTTGGGTGGGCGGGGTTGGGTGATCGGGTAGGTGGGTGGGTGGCGGTGGGTCTCACATTGTGCCATGCCGGGAAAGACAGAATGACTTTAGCTATTTTCCGGGGTTCCCTGTTTCACCTCCATCTCTTGTTTGGGTGTTGTTGTCTCCCAATCTCTCACTTCCCCCCTTTTGGACCTCCAAAAAAGCGGCGTTTTTTTTTTTTTTTTTTTTTTTTTAATAATAATAATCCGCTCTTGCAACTTTTGAAGGGGAACTCCCATGACTCCTGTCTCGTGTGGGAAGTGGGCTTGACGCCTTTTTTTTTTTTTTTTTCTTCTAGTGGCGCCAGCAAATGGTTTCTCCGGGCCCGGCGCATTTCCCGCATGGGAAGGATCACAAATTTGAGGTTTCATGGCCAGGGCATTCCGTGAAAAGGGCACTCTCGTGGTTTTTTGGTTTTGAAGGAAAGGCTAAAGGGAACAGCATCGTTTGGAGGCTCCCTGGTTCAACACACGCCCAAATGGCGATTGTTGTTTGTTTCCCCTTTGCACGGCGATCTGCTTGTCTGCAGCCCAGTGGTACCCATTGGGCAAACATCCCTTCGGCTTGAGTGGTACTCCCCGTCAGACACACCTTCATGCAAGGATCCCAGGTTAACAACAGATTTCGCAGCGGATGTGAAGGGCGCCTTTTTCTGCGGCTTCACATACTGCTGGGTTGTGAGCGATTGGTTGCAGCCGTTGCCCTTAGGTTTGCCGGAAAAGTGGCTCCATGACATCAAACTGGAGAGTCAGTTTGCACCGATTGTTTCGATCATTTCAGGGGACAGTTTTGAGAACCTCAGCTGATCCATAGCACAAGCGCTCCATTCACACGCCACGGCCCGGGGCCCCGGGCGTTTGTTGGTTTGAGCCATTGGCCAAAAAGCGGCGGCCGGGGGTTGCGACGGGCCGGTTCGGGAGGGCACACGGTGTTGGGAAGTTTAGCACTAGGCATTGATTGTGGCTGCATTAGGCGCTGTTGTTCTCGTTTCAGTTGTGGGCAGGCCGGATTGGTGTGAAGAGAACGCGGAGGTATGCCTTGTATTTCTGCACACCGTCGCTGGAAACCAAAGTGAAATGTTCAATCACAATCATTATTTCGGCATTCATGGCGTGTTGCAGGAAGAATTTTGTAAACAGCTCTGATATCGGCAGTCAGCAAACGAATCAGGAAATTCTGATTGCTCAGACGGCAGAATTGGCCTCTTGGCTTTAAGGCAGACTTGTTTATCACCCGCATTTGGCATCAATGCAGTCCCAATCAAAACCTGGTATCAAAGCGGTGAACCCAAAACCAAGTGGCGAATCAGGTGCGGAAGGATCTTGGCGCCTTTTTCTGGCTGGGATTGTTTTTCGCTAACCTTCACTTGCCACGAACGTGTTTTGATTGTGGCTCAATTCTGGCCAGCGCTCCGCACCGAGCGATTCCAACAATGATGAAGTCTTCTTAGGATTTTTTCGGCATGGGCTTGCTCGAGGCTCGGTTCCCTGTTCAGGTAAGGAAGCCACAAGGACACCACCATGCCTTCGGAATCCCCTAACACATACCCATGTTTGTCTTCAGATGCCTCCCACCATAGCATCAATTGGAAGGACCCCCGGGGTCGGGTGCCGTTCGCATTGGTCAGGTGCCGTTCGCATAGGTTGCCCCGCTGGGGGTTTGGATTGGCTTGGCCTGGTTCTTGTGGGTCCGTTTAGCAGATCTCGAAGGAATGGCCTGGAGGCTTTTTCATTTTGCCCTGGAAGACCGAAGTGGAAATCGCGCCCTCGCTTCTACCCTGGAAAACCCATGGAACCCCGAATGTCGCGTGCCCTGTTCTTGTGAATATTTTGGTGCCCCGATTTTTATGGACAGTTTTTTGTTGGATTCGTTTGTTCTAAACTGCGGTCCTTAAAATTGTCGTCGTCCTTTTGGTTTCACTTTAAACAAAGCACAACTTGGCGGTTCCCAATCGTGCCTGAGCTTTTTAGGTTTTTAGTTGGTTTAGCGGTCGGGTTTGCATTTATCCCACAAGTCAAACTCTCTTTTGCTCAGAAAACGGTCAGCCCAGATAAATGGGTCCGACTCCCATGTTGAGGAGCCCTAGCGCTTCGTGTCGATTTTGAGGCGTGGCGCTGCGTGCGGTGCTTCCCCGGCGGGGATTCCGAGCTGGGGGGTGAAGCTTTTGCCGGGGCCGTGTTCGAAGGAGGGGGGGATGTGTTGAAGGGAGTAATTTTGGCGGGGATATGGGTCATGCTCGAAGGGCTGTTTTTTTGAACCGGGTGGAGGCGGTCATGTGTTTGAAGGGGTTTTGTTTGAATGGGGTCATGTTTGAAGGGGGTCGTGTTCGATTGCGGCTATGTTTGAAGGGTATGTTTGAAGGGGGTCATGTTGGAAGGGGGTTTTATTTGAAGGGGAGGGGTCATGGTATTGGAGGGAGTCATGTTTGAAAGGGCTTATGCCTGAACGGGGTTCTGTTTGGAAGCAAAGGGAGAATCCCCTAAACTGCAAGCCAGTGTTCTCTGATTGCTTCTGAGGTCCGCCTCTGCCATGGACACAAAGCCTGTTTTCTGTCCACCTAGATTGCTCCGCAATCTTCACGTCGCGCGATAGGTGTCCAATTCGGTTAGTGAAATCAGAAATAGCTAGTTTGATCTTGTGGGGGGTGGATGGGAAACCTCCAAAACAGCACTAAACACACCGATTCTGCTCCAAACCACCAATTTAACAGGAAGCTGAACTTATGTTCAGGTCCAAATAAAGCCCTTTGCTGGGGCGAGTTTGTTCGAATATTGCCTTTTCCCAGCTGGCTGGGTCCGAAATTTCGACAGACAGCAGTATTTGGATGTATCCTTAGTGTGTTTGGCGTGGTTTGTTGTTCAGGTGGTTTTACATCCATGCCGCTCGTTTAAGATAGTGTAAGGTGGGGTTTGAATGTTTGAATTAAATTTCTAGGGGTTGATTCCCCATTCTTTTCCAACCATCGTTCGTTTAAGCAACCAGCTGTTTCCCCTGGGGTTCTGATGGTTTTCTGGAAAGATTCGGATCACTAGAAAGAATGGGGAAGTGCCCCCTAGTTGAAAGAGACACCCCCGGGTCCAAAAGGTTTCTAGTGAGAACCCCTGAACATGTCACTGGAGGACCCCCCCCCCCCTCGGGTTTCTTTTTGTTCAGGGGTCCCACTATTTATTCCAAAAGGGGGCCACAAGGCACACCCTGCCCTTCACGTCCTTTAAGGACCCCTGTTGTGGGATCGCTCTTGCGAGGTGTGAGCTCAAGACAAAGCAGCACTCGGGTGTCACTGCAGTGCTCCGGCTTTTCGGTCGGTCAATGTCCCCAACCATGAGTTTCCTGCAAATTTACGCCCCTCCCCCTCCCCCCAGCAGGTTTTTGCTTCAATTTTTGTTGGGATTCATGCTAGTTTGTAGGGGAGTATAGCGCGCCATCATGCGGCTGGGTCTTGTGTGGTCTTGCCGGGCGGACTCTTGGTGACCTGGTGACCGTATGACTTATGACCCACGAAAGCTTGCGACCATGCGTAACAAGAGATGCTCCCCTGCAAGTAAGGATATTCTTCCAAAGACACCGGCCATGTTGAACAACAAGCCGGGCAGCAAGACAGCGCATCCATGAAGAGCGGGTAACTATGCACGAGAGGTACTTCCGAATGGCGAAGAAGGAGAACACCTTTGAGGTACTGCAGCGCTTGGGTCTGTGCCATGTGACCCATTCGCTGAAGGAAGCGCAAGGAGATGCTTCCATTTGCTTAAGTTTTCTTTTTTTCCCCCTTTGTTGGTTTTATGCGGAATTTACCACTACTGGACATATTTTTTTCATGTTTCCGGGGGTCTGAACCAAATGGAAGTATGGGGCCGTGGAGGTTGGAAGGTTTGCGTGCCACATAGGGGGTAGCTACTGCCTCACATGGTCAAACACCTGCTTGGGCCTGGTTTGGATTTCTTTTCAGGAATTCAGACAACCAGTGGGTGCCACCATGGCCTCCCAGCTGCTGGGAGGCCATATACGCCGTTGGAACCTTCTTTCAGGATCGGCTTGAAGGGTCGAGCTGGGAAAGCTGGAGATCTCCATTCGAAGTTCAACTCCTCCTTTTGTGGGAGGACTCGCAAACATGGGTATTGGGGACCGGGTGGGGCGCCAGGGTCTCAGAACATGAGCGCCAGTCTTTTTTTGGGCCTTGTGGCTGCTAGCAGCCGTCAATAGTCCCCCAGAAACCTGATACTCGCAAAAATGGCTCTTGGGGGACCGGAGCTTGGGCTTTTGGTGTAGATCCTGGCGTGTTTCCTGGTGCCAGGGATACTGGCCGTGCTCGTTCCGTTGGGATTGCTGGGAGTGCACTTGTTGCTAAGTTGTGTTGAACTCATTTTTGAGTAAGTTTTGTTGAACTGTTTGCTGATTTGTAAATAAGCTTTTCTTCGAATGAAACGTGTAAAAACCAGATTGACATAGGAGAATTATTAAACCATTGACATTATGATTAGAGTATTTCCTTTTAACATTATATTTGATTTCAGTTAGACATTGAGTATATTTTGATACATACATTAACATTAAGTATGATCTCATAAGGACATAATTCAACAGTCCAAAGATTTCTTGTTTTACCTAGCCACAATCACTACCATGGTCAGAAAACAAAGTGAACCACTGTGAGTTGTAGCGGCTTTCATACTAAATGCACATCTTTACCGACGGCCACTCTGAAACAATAACTATATTTTGGGAAGCTATGTTCAATCGAACTCAATCAGGAAAGACTGATTCCGAATCCTATTGGACAT